AGCTAGACATTATTGGGTGACACTTAAGCATAAAAGTGGCACACCAAAATGCTTTTTCTACTTTTCACGTCCATTTGATAAAAGTATAAAATTCTTTTGATTGAAAATCGAAAAATATAAAGTATAATGGATCTTTTCAAGAATGTGTAGCTATATTAAAAGGTTGGTAATCGTTATTAACGATTTAGGCGATCGATATTATTTTGAGGTAGAAAACGAACATATTATTATATAGAACCCCCGAGTTTTCGTAATAATAAAAAAAGCTTGAAATTTATTGGAAGAGCTTCTTTCTACACAATATTAAAACCAAAGGGCATCTATTTAGAAGAATTTTGTCGAAAAATGTTTAAGGCCACTATAAAATTGGGGGTGTATATAAAAAATAAAATAATTTAGATGGATTCCCTAATAAGAAGCTGGAAAAATGTTTAAAAAAAAACAATGATAACAGTATATACTGATGAAGTTGTAACTTTTAATAAAGGAGCAGCAAAACATCTTCAAATGTAAGCAAAATTGTTACTGAAACCATCTGCTTACATCAGAACACAATCAGGAGTATGTGATCTAACTAGACATTGCTTTGTCATATAGCATCTTTGTACAAAGTGGGCAAAGTAAGCAGAGCAAAGACAGTAGTGAACAGGAACAAAGTTTGTCATCGCCGTGAATATCTCGAATCTGATATGGTAATAATAGAGATGCCTAAACAAATAGGTTTTTTAGAAACATAGATCTCTTGGACAGTGATATTACCTGTTGTGAAATAACAAGATAATTGTAGCATCATGAACAAATTTCTTATGAAATATATAAATCAAACATTTATCAAAGTAGTGAAATAACTACAATACATAAATAGTATGTCAAAGTTTCGTCTTTATCTATTAAGATAATAGTGATGGCTTTCATTTGGTTATCCGCAAGTGTTTAGCAGTGTAAGCAACCTACAGTATTAAAGAATAAATAAAAATGCAGAGTTGTCGCAAAATTCCAAACAAAATTGAGCAATTTAAAACAAGGAACCATCTATATAACACTTTAATGAGTTAATTTTAAAATAGCTGTATTAATCTTATCTTTAGGTTTCATATTACAAATGGTTTTTGTATTCGAGAACAAATACCTTTTTATTTCATTGAACTTGTGACACTATAAAAAACTAATATTCAGTAAATTGTTTCTTGTGGAAAATTAAACCTTTGGTTTGTTTATTTACTTTATCAAGAAGAATATTGTACTTACATAGTACATCTGCCTTTGTAGCGTCGGATTTTTAATGATGATGACTGTTTCGCAATTTCTTATGTTTCTCTTTATTTTCAAGTGTGCAGTTTTTTAGTTAAATGGATTCAAATTAAGATCTGATTTATGAAGGATCTATTCACCCTATCTGCTCTCAATAAATTTTCGCTATAGTAACAGATTAATATTCTCGTTCCAACCACTTCGATATCAGAACTATTCAAGTATCTTATATGCAAGATCAAAGTTGCATTTACAATGTGAACGCTTATTTGAATACCTCCACTCTGTATTATATCGTTTGTATTATTGATAATTAGTAGTGAATTTATTAAAAAGTCGCAAATATTTAATTTATCTATTGATAAAAAATGACATTTTTAATGTTAAAATCTATACAAATCAATCTATAACTGAGACATTCTTTGAAAACTAATACCATCTGTCAAACTCTGAAATTTTAAAGAATTTTAAATTTAATATAACATTGAACCATATTTCTATCTCTACGACTAAAGTAAACAGATTTAGTCGGAAGCAAGACGTACATGTGAACACCGGAAGAGAATATATCGGAACAGAAACAGAGCAGTAGTGTAAATACATCCTAAAGCTCTTAAACTACCATTAAATGTGCGTTTTAAGGTTCTAAACAACTTCTATAAACATTTTTGATGACGAAAATGTAAATTCTTGGATAAAATATAAACCATTCTTAATAAACTAAGGAAATTGTCATAATATAGGAAGTAATTACTTATAGGAACTCTATCAAACATCCACATACTTATGAGAACAATATCTACGTCAGAAATGAAATAAGAAGATAAATATCTAAAATCGAAAGTATACAGCAAACAAATAGGGAATATGACTACATTAATCAAACAATGATGAAGTTCTGGCATAAACATAAAGATTAACATTGAGCAACAATACAAAAAACTCAACATAAAGACTGGTAGAAAGACTTGTATTTGATAGACGGTTTACTATAAACACAGGGAAGAAACACAACAAAAAGTCATGTTTTAGAGAAATCCAATACTTATAACCAAACCCAGCAGTATAAAAAGTTATGCTTTATATGAATTTTTATAATTTTAAAATTGTGATGCACGGACTTTCAGACCATGGATACAACGCTGACAACCAGAAAAAGGAAAAAATCAGTTTATTTATACATCTAATAATCCATGGTGAATATACAGGGAAGAAGAAAAAATTGAAGATAACCCCAGCATAGGAAGAACAAGAATGTCGTGGTTGCGAAACCTGAGTGAATGCTTCGTTTGCAGTTCTATTCAACTGTTCTGAGCAGTAGCCTCCAGGAAGATTTGCCATGATGGCAGCCAATCTTCGTAGCGGAGATGGCATATGAAGCAGAGACTCTAGCAGGACAAAGTATTATCTATATCTTAGAAGAAGACCCACATAAATCAAAATGTGGTAATGTTGTATAAATCTAGCTTGAAAATTGACTAAAATATGTATAGATCTGAAAAAATCTGTAGGGTTTTGTTGATTTCGTTAATACTAAATTTTCGAAACTGTTGTGAAAAAAGTGGTGTACATTTATGATTCTCTTGTTCAAAGATCACACATATAAGAAACAAATTTTGGTAACTCAATCGCAAAACAAAAACAAGCTACTTGCAGCTCATATGAGCGTTTTCAGAAGATCAGCCGTCAAATTTAAAGTAGAACGAATTAGAAATGAAGACATCAAAAAATTATCAGGTGATTACTGTAATTAACGATATACGCCATAATAGTTCAATGGTAGATATCAGTAAGAGTCAGAAGCAAACAACCAACAAAAGGACAGCTGGCTGCGAGAGATAACTAAAATGATGGAGAAAACAGATCCAAAAATGACCGACTGGAAGATATAACACTAGGAATTTGAAAATGACCACATTTTTCGCTGTGGACCAGGTGAGCTGGTCTACAAGTAGAAAACTACAGGAGCTTTCAAGGGAATCACTGAAAAAAAACTAGAAAAGTGACAAGAATAAAAAAACCCAAACATCTCTGTATTGGTCAAACAGAAAAGAATGTAAACAAAATGGTTTGGTCAATTGAAAACGCCAAATTAAGCTGGCCAGAAACAAATATCTCAATAATTTCAATGCAGATAAAACTTCAGGAAGAAAGAATTTACACACAATATTGATGTTTATATGTATTCAGAGTTAAGAAACTGTTGCGCAACGGGATAGTATGGTCCATGAGGCACATAGGAGATAGAAAAGATAGTAAGAAGACTGATAGTTATATGAAAAGAATACCACAATTGAGATGAGTTACCAGGTGTCAGTGCCATAAATTAGGAATGCAATTACTTGAATATAATGCAAAAGTAACGAAGGCAAACAGATAAAATCCAACAAAAACTGAAATACTAAAAGAGGAAATGTATATTAATAAAAATAAGTCTACCGATATACTTTTTAAAATTATTAAAATATCCGAATTGACAAAACATTATAAAAGGCACCCAAGAAGACAATCCAATAATCCAAGACAAACAACACTAACTACAGTATACTAAATCCAAATCTTTTAAAGCAAAGAAAAGGAAAAACAGCCAGAGAAAAACAATCAAAATGCACCTAACAACCTGGAAATAAAACCTGTACAGTAATTGAGAGAACCTTTTTGTTCTGTGGCTTCAACGTGTTGTAGAAAGGCAATATCAGATTAATGAACAGAAATATGCCATTTTAGGATCAATAAGCCCTTGATAAATTGAGATGTTTATCAAGCTCGCATAAATGAGTTACACTTGGTGCTAATTGAAAAAAAAATCAACAAATTTTCGGGTGCTGGAAGCATATATGTGATAGAAATTATCATATAAGTAGCCTTGATAAGTAGGAATCAAAAACGCTGAATATAATATAATTGAACCACAAATATGTAGTGTTAATAAAGTAAATAATAGCAAAAGAAAAATGGTGCATCCAAAATATTGTTATAAACAAAAATGCTCACAAGTGAAAGATAAATAGAAAAACCTCCCTATGAATTAAAAATAAACAAAATCAATACTTAACAGTAAATAATAGCAGAAGCAATTATCAAAATAATGAAAAAAATAACGGGATTATAATCTAGTTGAGCTTATTAGTTAATTAATGCCATCTACACATATTTATACTAATTGTTTGGTAATAACAAAAGATAGTACATTACCAATATATAAAAAGTTGTCTACAAGAACAAGTTTTCAAAATTTTAAAAATAAATCACTTTTTAATTCATTCAAACTATTAGAAATGCCCCGAATTAAATCAGATAAATAAATACTTGTTTATACAGTCATCAAAAAACAAACTGATATACTAGTCTTTGTAAATTATCGATACGAAATAGAAATTCGAATATTAATATAAATAAATATGAAAGTATCTAATATTGTGTCAAATTCAATTTTTCTAACGAAATATAGGTATTAAGTGTTTGTATATTAAAAGTTAAAAATCTGATTTAAACCTTAAGATAAGATCAAATATATGTGAACGACTGAGATTATTTTATTAAATAATTAATGTAACTTACTACAACGGTTTCCTTGTTTTAAAGAAGGCCAAATTTCGGTGCATGACAAATAAATGAAAAGTTAAAAGGACTTCAAAGCCATACCTGATGCTCGTCAAGAAACAAAACCGAGACATTGAGTCTTATGTACACATAAAAAATTTTCACAGCTGCGGCACATCAATGTCTTGTGCCACAAAAAGCGGTTCTCACATATGCGTCAGGGGGGCCAAGGGCCCTTGAGCCATGGGGTCGGGGGAGCTGCTGTACTGGTGCTGCATATGTTGAACTCCTCCGTCGGTTGGCAGGTACATGGAAATCATCTGGCGCAGATCGCCCTGCTGCGGTTGCCCGACGTATTCCCGCTTGATTCCTCCAGGGGTCGGCGTATGGAGGCCAGAACTTGGACTCACGGGCTCCGATTTTATACTAGAACCAGAAGGACTATGCGATGAGCCGGCTTGGTGCATGCCGTAAGGAGATCCCGCACTATTTGGTACCGTTGTCGTGTAGGAACCGTAGCCTCCGTTCATGTAGTTGTGCTGCATCTGGCTCATGTCGTATCTGGGGTAGTTTGCGGTACCATATTGTTGTTGGTAGGCGCTGGGATCATGCATCATGTAGCCGTTGGGCATGTATCCATTAGGCATTTGGTACATTTCTCTAGCTGCAGCTACTTGTTGTACTGAAGGAGGAGCAGATCGTGTGGGATCCGAACTTGGGAGCAACGTTGAGCCTCCTAATGGATACTTATCTTTCTTTAACAACGTTTTTGTCTTACGTCTAGGCCGGTATTTGTAGTCGGGATGTTCTTTCATATGTACAGCTCGTAATCGTTTCGCTTCGTCTATGAAAGGCCTTTTTTCTGATTCGCTTAGTAGTTTCCACTCAGCGCCTAGTCTTTTCGATATTTCTGAATTGTGCATTTTGGGGTTTTCTTGTGCCATTTTCCTCCGTTGTCCCCTGGACCACACCATAAAGGCATTCATCGGTCGCTTTACCCGTTCCATATTCTGCGCTTTCGACGAATTATTGTTGTTATTATTTTGTTGTTGTGGCTGATGGGTGGGTTGTTGATGGTGATTTTGCGATTGGTGCTGATGTTGGTGGTGTATTTGTGGTCCTTGGGGTTGATGGTGGATTTGGTGTGGATGTTGCGTTAATCCGTGCATCGGAGCTTGACTTAAAGCACTAAGAGAACCGTAATTTTGTAAAGAATGATGCGGAGGAATGTTCCCATGTAAATTACCTCCTTTGAGGTCCGTTTCCATTGTCAACATGTCTTCCGTTGGAGCAAACAGTTTGCTGGTTTTCACAACACACTTGTAACACACAAAAACTCACGGGCACTCCGCACTGAACAGCGGCACACTCTATTATGACTAACCAATGTGCTGGTGCGTGGTCGCGTCCCCACCAACCGGTTTGATTGACAGAACCGCCTGCCATGTTTTGCGTGGGCCAATGGTGCGCAAGTCCGCTTGCCGGCTACGCCTCCGAGGGGCCCCCACTATACACCACCGCTGCGCGCAAGTCGTCAACTAATTACTCGCGATTGCTAATTATACCTAGAGGGTATTTTTACTGTACGGAGCAATAATAATTAATTAATACGGGGCGCATCATTTCGTGTTCAAAAATCTCTAATTAATGAAGGTACTGGGATTTAGCAAAAGGAATTGCTGCTACTGCTTCATCTTTTTTTATTTTATTAATTTTGCGATGGAGATGGTGAACGGCGGAGGAAAAGAGAGCTTTAGTGTAATTGGGGCATGTAAATATTTTGACAATGGCCCACTAGATGTGAATGAAAGGGTTTTTTCACGCCGTCGTTGTTGAGGTTAAGAGTTCAGGCTAATTGATGAAAAATACGAAAGGTTTCTACAATTTTTTCGCTTTGTTTACTTCTTAGACAAGTCAAGCGTGCGAAACGACGAATTGTTACTTTAAGAAACAATAATTGAATCTATTAATATTATATTGATAGGAATGATAGGGGAGTTTATTTATTTTTCAACACAATTATTATTCGCTATGGTTTATTTTAGGTGATTCTTTTTTTGTGTCTTTCCTTTTATAGTTCGTAATAAAAAATTGCAATTTTGACGTTCTAAAAAACTACTTTTGAATATTTAGATTCTTTTGTTATTTCGGGTAGTCTGGGTTAAAGTATTTATTGATTTATTGTTCACTATTCTTTGTTTTAACTATTGTGCCAAATTCATTTTGTTTTAATGTTTGATATCTATTTACTAGCTTTTTTAGTTGACACTTTCTTATGTACTCGATTTTGTTCTTTGTTTAAAAGTTTCGTTTGATTTTTGGAACGATATCTTTATTTTTTGTTACTTAAATTTGTGTTCCGATTATTCAGATTTCGTTTTCCTGTGGGTTTGTATTGATTATTTGTATAGTTGTACGATATTTATCCATAGTATTTTAATCTTCTTCTATCTTCTTTTCTTAACCAGTTTGTAATTATTCGGCGGCTGTTGTTGTTATATTGCGTCAAGTAATTCTGTTGTTAATTTCTATTTTCTATCATCATAATATTGTTCTGAAGCTATTTTCTTGTGGCGTTTTAAATTAATTCCTATTTAACTGGAATAAGCCACAATTAAAAGTTCAAATACGTTTATTGACGTTTCAATTTCCACTTCGGACATCGTTCTCAAAATACAAACAGTAAATTAAACAAATTTTGTTTTTTGTTACTTAGTGAAAAATTCTTCTAATAATTTAATTTTATCTGACTCATTTATATTGACAATTCAGACATACATTATGCATTTTAAAGTAGACGACTTTAAAATGATATTGCCAATATAGTTGAGTTGCACTCCTGGGACGACTTTACTTATAAGATAGTTTATTCGATTACATGAAATCAACTTTAACTTGAGAATATCCGTCAGAAAAAATCATAGCATGTAATTCGTCTTTAAAAAGACAAACACATGCCATGATGACAGTAAAATTCTCCTGTTAGTGATTCCATAGTAAATTATGAGGGAAAAACCAGGAAAAAAACCTCATAATACTATCCCGACATGGTAAGTATTCGGTCGTACATTTAGTTTACCTTCAATAAACACCAAATTCTGATTTTATATGTTTGTTATTTAAAAACATAAATGATGTATCCTCTATATGTTACTGACTTACTAATACTGGTATTTTCTTATTAATAACTTCCTCTTTCAATATGGGTAACCAGATCCTATACATTCTGCCGAGAATTTGCGACACAATTGGTCTCATTTAGCATAATTAGAGCCGCTTCTTTGATTTTTCTTTTTTTACCATCCGTTTCTTTTAGGACTACATTTGAATTATTCCATTGAACCCTATGTTCATTATCCCATGCGTGTTTACGTATTTGAGATCTATCAAATTCTCTATTTTTAATATAAGATTGATGTTCACTTTTTCTAACATTTAATGGCCTTGATGTTTCACCTAAATAAAACTGATCGCATTCACAAGGTATTTTATAGATGCAATTCTTTGTCCTTTCTTGTTCATTGTTAGGTTTGATTTTGGACAAAATAGATCTCAACGTGTTTGTTGTTTTGTTCATTGTTATTTTGTCCAAAACCAAACCTAACAATGAACAAGAAAGGACAAAGAATTACATTTATAAACCTGTGAATGCGATCAGTTATTAGGTGAACATCAAGCCATTAAATGTTAGAATAAGTGAACAATCTTATATTAAAATAGAGATTTGATAGATCTAATATGTAAACAGCATGGATATGAACATAGGGTTCATGGAATAATTCAATGTAGTCCTAAAGAAACGGATGGTAAAAAAAGAAAAATCAAAGAAGCGGCTCTAATTATGCTAAATGAGACCAATTGTGTCGCAAATTCCTCGGCAGAATGTAGTAGGATCTGGTTACCCATATTGAAAGAGGAAATTATTAATAAGAAAATACCAGTATTAGTAAGTCAGTAACATATAGAGGATACATCATTTATGTTTTTTAAATAACAAACATATAAAATCAGGGTTTGGTGTTTATTGAAGGTAAACTTAGGTAGGAAGGCACGACCAAATACTTTACCATGTCGGGTTAGTATTATGAGGTTTTTTTCCTTGTTTTTCCCTCATAATTTACTATGGAATCACTAACAGGAGTATTTTACTGTCATCATGGCATGTGTTTGTCTTTTTAAAGACGAATTACATGCTATGATTTTTTCTGACGGATATTCTCAAGTTAAAGTTGATTTCATGTAATCGAATGAACTATCTTATAAGTAAAGTCGTCCCAGGAGCGCAATCAACTATATTGGCAATATCATAAACGTATTTAAATGTAATGTGTCTAATTTCATTAAATAGTAAAATGTAATATTTGAATTGTTCAATAATGTAACAGAAAAATCAAATTATCTAAAAAGAAGTTAAGTTTTCATCTTAAAAAAAACGTTAACTAAGACACTTTTATCAACTATTTGAATATTCCATATTTATTTCAATTGGTATCTATGTTAATATATAAAGTTTTAACGTGAAAAGATATAAGTTTAGTTTATTGTAATAGATATTTTTTAAATAAATTTATGAAAATTCCATGAAATCCTGTACATGACATTGAGTTTTACCTACTAGATAATGAGTTTTACCAAGAATGTTCGCAAAGCAGTTGGAGAGGTTTATGTTGTACAACCAACATTACTGATAATTGTACCAAGTAGAATATTTTCTTGGGAGCTGTTTAAATATATGAAGCAATGCCAAAAGCATAATGTAATGAGATATCAGTTACTTAAATAAAGCATTGTTTTTGAAAATTATTCCGAAAATCTGAGAAAAATATTTGAGAAAAAATTAATTACTTATCACCACTTTAAATGCTGTTATTTAAAAAACTAAAAGAATAAGCTTACATAACACCACCACAAACAATAACAACAATGATTCTATCAAAACATATAAGAAATATATATAAAAAGTCGTTTAATATTGGATACATTTTTTTCAACCGCTTTTTTACAAAAAAAAATCTAATTTTGTCTTGTTCTTAGTAATTTGCTGGTATAACTATGTATTATGTTCTGCTAGGATTATATAATTCTAGAAAATAACTTTAGGCGATAATAAAATGTTAATAAAAAAACCCAAATTAGACAGTTTACAAAATAGTCTAATATTGGATAGAGTGATAGAGTATCTGATATTAGAGAATAGCATATTTCACGTACATGTACAATGTAAACAGTTTATTACAGATGATTACAAAATATAACTTTTTTTCAGCAAATGTTATTTATTTTCCTGAAAGGTACAAAAAAAATTAACACAAGGTAAACAGTGACTATCCATCCATCCGCAAATGAAAACCATGTGTTACCTTCAACTCCACCTTCATGACACCTAAGCTTCATGACACCTACTGTAACATTTACAGCAGCTTCTTTGTTACCCAGCTTTGTAGGAAGAAGAAAACAATCCAAATAAATAGATGTATTCTATATCTTCTTCTTAGTGGTCCATGTCATCTTCGGAATCAAGAAATGGTACTTTTGCTCAGACTCTGATGAATCTGAAGAAATGACTTCCGTTTTCCTTTTCTGTATCTCTGTATCTGTAGAGTAGGGAGAGCGAGTTAAGTTTCACAGCACTTAGGCCACAATTGCCCCATTGTGCATCCTACCAGGGAGCTGTCGCCCTTAGCTCATTGAACGTCCTGCCATTTCTAGGAAAGTGGACAAGTCACCAGGAGACATCTCTCTTATGTGGGCCAGGACTTGCCGAAACGCGTACTCTCGTATTAACGATAACTCCGGGCATTCACATAGGACATGCTCTACTGTTTCGTCTTCTCGTTCACACTTTCTACATAGAGGTGTGTCTGCTAGCCCCAGGCTTAGTTGACAATGACCATTAAAAAACCAACTGCCAAACGTAGATTTTTCCTGGTCATTCCCAAGTACTTGTTTGATGCTGACTCTTCAAGGTACTTAGTGTTACCTGGCAATTACATCCTTTCCCTTCTTCCCATCTTTTTACGGTTTGCGTATGGGAGTGACATTTGACAATTTCCGCGATTGTTGTAGTTGACCAACCAAAAAGATCCCAATGTCATTTTATTTTTGGATTTAATTTTTTGCCAAAGTTCTTTATATAAAATAATGCCAGTTTTTTTGTTTTCTTTAATTCTCTCTTAGAGTCAAAGTGTACCGATTTCTTAACCCCAGTAGCAGTTTTAGACGATTGTAAATCTTCAAGAGCTTTTTCTATAAGGAGATCCAGTAATTAAGGCAGCTG